TCTGCCCGGTTTGTAGCTTGCAACTTCACTGCCACACTGATAGTTGATGCTTCTTATGTACCAGGGCCTATGCTCTCTTAACAGAGACCTCTCTTAAAGAGACCTCTTTCCACAGGTCTCTTCTCAAATACCCATGACTGTGCAGACTGTCAAGAACGCCAGTGCTCTCACACATGAGAATGTGGGCAATTTGCGTCCTAGATCTACAACACTCTTTTCTTTCTGAGGACTGAGAAGACACTTCAGAAATAATGCATCCAGGGTTACTGAGTCTAAGAAAGAGAACAGTAGTCCTGCAATGCTATTCAACACCCAGAAAGAAGAGTATCAGATTAGGCCAATCCAAATGCCTCTTATCAAACAAGTCCTCTTCCCCCACTAGAAGTGAAACCCTTGAGAGCAGTGACCAATGCAGAGTTCTGGGATATATGAAAAGCAGGTGATTATAATTCTTCTAACACTGTATCCCAGAAATACCTCAAAGAAGAAGTTGTATCTCACGCTAAAGTGTGCTTATAGTAATAGAGGTTCTTGCCTAGTTCACCTCTCATGAGCAATGCTAAACATGCTGGCCTCCCTCTTGCTTATCCATAAAATAGGAGTAAGAATAACTTGCTTTGTAATCCTTGCAATAAGCGTTACCTAGTGTATAATGTGTATAAGTTACCTAGCCCCAAACTTGACAAATAGAGCTCCTAAACGATTATAATTACTTAAGAAAAGGACATATCAAACACTTTCAAATATTTTGAAATCTCATGTGCAAGTCATATACTTTAATATAACATGATAGATTCCTAAGGATCCCTCCTGGTAATTTTTTTATTTTTATTTTTGAAATGGAGTCTTGATCTGTCACCAGGCTGGAGTGCAGTGGTGTGATCTCGGCTCAATGCAACCTTTGCTTCTTGAGTTCAAGCAATTCCCCTGCCTCAGCCTCCCAAGTAGCTAGGATTACAGGTGCGTACCACCATGCCAGGCTATTTTTGTTTTTTTATTTTAGTAGAGACAGGGTGTCACCATGTTGGCCAGGATGGTCTGAATCTCCTGACCTCATGATCTGCCTGCCTTGGCAGATAGGCATGAGCCACCGTGCCTGGCCCCTAAGGGCCCCTCCTGGTAATATTTTATTAGCTCAAGTGAACATAGAAATATGTTTGAAAAAGGTATGTTTGCATGGAAAAAATACACTAGACAGAATGCTTTTCTTGAATTTTTTTCACTGAAAGCTTACTAAAATTTAATAAGACATATTAGCATTCTCATTTTACAGAGGAGTACAACTGAGGCCCAGAGAGGCCACTGGTGTTCCCAAGGTCACACAGTGGGTAAAAAGCAGAGCTAGGATTTGAACCTAGGTTACTCAAATTCCAAAGTCTGTGCTCTCAACCACTCTTCTCTCCTGTCTTCTTTTAATTAAATTTTTTACTGAAGAAGATATGGATTACTCTCAAATGCAAATTAATAAGGGTTTAATAACATCTTTAAAGTTCTTTAGGAAATGCTTTCTCTCTCTTTGCCCTTCTCTCTCCTTTATAGAACCTAAATGTTGTTTCATCACAAAATCAAATATAATAATAAAAATCAGGAGAGGAATTGAACATATTTAATGAGCTGACTTTCAAAACACAATTTGTATTCAAGACATCTCTGTGTTGTTCTATCACAAAGTAAATACATTGTTAAAACGTAAGGAAGGGACTGGGGGATTGCACATAGCTAATGAACACCTTTTACATGAGGTTAGTATTGGGAAGATCTGTTTTAGATCTTGCTACAACATGCAAAGAGTGACTTACATGGTGAAGGGCAGCCGCTTGTTGGGGTTTGAGAAGCCCACCCCTTCCTGTGCTGTGAGGTCTTCTCACTAAACCTGCACTCCTTTGCTGTGCACCTTCATCCCCCAAAGCTTGTTCCAGCCTTAAGGCTCTTAGGAACACATGCATCTTTAGCCATAGAGTTGCTCAGAGAGCCTTCCTTTTGGTGCTTTCACTATTACCTTTACTTTCACTAAATTTTCTGACTTGAGAGGCTTGCCTTTGTTTGATCTTCAGAGAACTTGCCTTTTACCTCCTCCAAATGCCTTTTCATTAATAGCCATGCAATCTTGATTGTGTTTGTCCTTTTGATGCACTCTTTTGATCCTCTGGTCTAATACTCAAAATTACCTCTCAACAGCTGCATTCATGAACCATGTGACCCTCCCTTCAACTTCAATATGCACACCCTCCCTGACACTCACACATTTTTTCACTGAGTCACACTTTCTGACAGGCCCCTGCTTCCTGCCACTGATACTTTGCACTGCCACATGCAGGCTTACACTTTCTTATAAATTCTTTCCTTTTCATGATGTCCTGAGTATGAGGAACCATCTGAGCCCCTTTCCTGATGTTCTGAGCCCCATCCTGGGAGTCCCACAGGTACACAGTGAAGGCAGCCCACACCCGAGAACAGGTCTCATCTTTCCTTATCTTTTACATTCAGAGAGTGCCTTGCCATGGCACCTCCATCCCCTTCAGAGCTTGCAGGCGGTGGACTATCCGGAAACCCAGTATGGGAACTGACTACTTTCTCCTCATCAGGGAGAGGAAAGAAGAGCCTTCAGGAGAGTGAATTTTATGGTGGAGTTACCCTCACTTCACTCTACCCCTGGGAGAAGACAGACTCCTCAGCTGGTCCCCACCAAAAGAAGCCAAAAGACCCTAAAAGAAATCCTGTGATGATGGAAGGTGACCATGGCACCTGGGACAAGGGCCCATCTTTTATACCCAAAGCTCTGCAGGACTAAAAATCTCTTGGAAAGCAGGAATGAGAGTATCCCAAGATTGTCCCTGTTGAAGATGCCATGGTTGGCTGGAGGAAGGCACTGCTTGGTACATCACGGAACAAAGCCCCACAGAGCAAGGGGCACAAACCCAGTGAGGATGTACAGCCTACACCATTGGGGGTGGGCCTTAGGGGAGACCAGATGATCCCTTCCCTAAGAGTCCCGAAACATAGGACAGTTGTTAAGGAAGCAACTGCAGGGAGTGAAAATGTCCGCCATCTATTCATGCATGGGAAACCTGAGGCAGTCTTGGTGTTAGCACATGCGGGTGGGAGAGGTGACACTGATGGAGGAAGGGAGAAGGATGGAGGGGAGAATGGAGATAAGAAAAAGGAGAAAGAAAGGAAGGGAGCAGAATACACAGCTGTAGAAAAGGTCTCGTGTATGCAGAGGGGAGATTTTCAACCTGCCATGAGAGTTAAGATTTGAATAACCAGATTAGACAGAAGTTACTGAACTAAGTTCTCCAATGGGACTGAAGTTCTATGTTTGGGCAAGATTAGGTTTTCTCTCCCTCCCTTCTCTCCAGTGAGCAGAAATGGGATTCAGAGTTATTAGATGAGAAAAAAAAAAACATTCTGTTTGTACCTCGTTGAGCTGGGACTCCTCCATCAAATCAATAAACATAAAATCTCAGGCTCTCTGAGCTGGCTGGAATCTCAAGCACAGAGATTTTTTCTTTGCCTAGTCCTCCTGGCACCTACCCCTCAGCTTCTACAGATTGAAGGTGATGGGAACTAAAAAAGACCCGGGAGTTTTTCTAACTTAATTTCAGCATTCACATTAAATACTCTATTTTTTCATATGCCAACTTTTCTTTCCAGCGCATTTTCATTTAATAGAACCTTATCTTAGTGAGAAAATTCCTTATGATAAAGCAACCTATGTTTGCAAACTCATGTCCTGTGTAGTGAGGCTGACACACTACTTACACGAAATGATTTGATAGCCTGATTCATTATGTATTTTGTAAGTGTGACACAGAACTTTCTAGCTGGGGACCCAACTGGTTCAGAAGTCTTGTTTGGACTTTATCTTGAGAGGTAGCCTTATGTGCTCATGCAGAGGCAAGCTTTTTACTGATGGCAAAGGTTAACAGAGATTTACAGGGGTATGTATTAGTATTTGCTTTTATCCTGCAGGATATTACATATTTGTGTCATTTCTGTTTTTGTTCCTAAGTTGAACAACAACTTGTTGTTGTTCAAAGTTGTACACTTCAAGGCGCCCTTCTTTAGGGTAATTTATTTTCTAAAAGATTCCTCTTTGCACTTAAAAAATGTTCAGTGATTTTGGCCAAGCTCAGATATGTTAAAATTCTCATGTTTAAATTCTCATGCTTCTCGGAGTGTTAAACTGAGTGTGTGTGTGTGTGTGTGTGTGTGTGTGTGAGAGAGAGAGAGAGAGAGAGAAGGAAAATCAGAACAGGAAAAGATCATGGAAAACAGTAATAAATATTTTTGAAATTGCTTCCAAGGTAACTATTATAGGCCCCTTCTCTACTTAAAAATGGTTTTAGAAGGTTAATATTTTGTTCTATAATAAAGCCTTTCTCACTTCGGATCTTGTTAGTTTCATTTTGTTAATATTGAGATGTTGTTAGCACGATTTTAAGGTAATAGTCATTTATAACGGGGGAGGAGGCTTACATTTGGGTAACTTAAGAGAGAAGAAGAAGAAAATGATAGAAAGTTAGCAAAAAGAAGAGAAGAAGCATTTTCCCAAAATAATTGAAGAAAAGCTGAAATAGAAGGTGATTTTTAAAAGGGTGTGTGTGTATGTGTGTGTGTGTGTGTGTTTGTGTGTTTAATAAACAGATGGTTTGAGGTGGAAATAACCAAATTGTTCTAAGGTAGAACTAACCAAGTTACTAAGATGAAAGGCAGAGGAAAATGCTAGTGGAAGTTAAAGAATCGTACTAGACCAGAAATGGAAAAACCAAGAAGTGATCAAAGCAATGGCAAGCAAATAATTCCCTGTACTACGCAGTAGATGGCGCTATGCACCCAAAGTAGCTTTGTTCCTGCTTAGGAGGAGGAAATAATGCACAGCACACGAATGTAAAATAAAGATGCATAACTGTTGTACCCGAAATTCCAGATTTATTCAGGAATTCACAAAACAAGGACTGTAGTACTAATTTCTTAATTTATATTTTGAAATAACTTACATTTTCACCTTTGATTCCAAGGGCTGTGAATTAAGGGGATATTTTTCAATATTATTCTCCGCATCCATGGCCAGCTGGTGACTAGAAACAGAAATAATGTCTCAATATATCTCAATCCAGAAAGTTAACATTTATAGCAATACTACTACTAATTTATACTCATTTGTAAAATAAGATATAGATTCAATTTTGTTCATTTTAATTTATTCAAGTTCCTGTTGATGAATGATGGATGATAAGTGATCATAATATCATGGAAAAAAAGTTGCTTTGCCTTTTATGTCTGCTGTCCTTTTGCTACTGTGAAGTCAACATTCATAGCTATAGTATGAAAATCATTTCCTTTAAGAGAAAAGAACAACATTGGACCATTTTAGGGTGAGAAAAAAAACACATGGAGAGGGTTATAAATCCCATGACACTGGCCAACTAGTAAGTTGTAGAGAAGACCTTATGCATCCCCAGTAGTGCCACTGCCACTGGACCTTTCCTCCTTTCATTTGTAAGCCATTTCAGGGCTTCCACCGGGAACAAAGCATGGTCTCTGACCTGCAGAAAGGCAGAGAACTATACAGAAATGATCACTGCTTTCGGTGAGTTTATAGGACTCTTAGTGCAACAACAATCAAGAAGGGCTTCATGGACAAGGCAGCTCTTGGGATGAGTTTTGAAGAATGGATAGGAAGTAGGTAAGTTGAGAGTGAAGGGCAACATGTGAGGAGGACAATAAAACAGAGCAGAGGTGAAAACATTCAAAGGATATTTTTAGAAAATAAAGAGAAATTTAGTGGAAGTGGATTAAAAAACAGGAGAACAAAAGGAAATAAGATTGGATAAACAGAAAGCTAATAGTTACTGGTCTATAATGTGTACAAAACACTGTCATAGACATTTTATATTCATTATCTTATTTATTATGGTCACTTCCATCAACTACGTATCACTTTCCCCACTGTAGAGCTGAAAAATCTGAAGCTTGGAGAGATTATGTTAAATTTACTATATAGGAGGAACCACATTAAAACTTATATCTCACAGCTCTCTCCACCAGAAGGCACTGGTTGGAACATTGTAACATCAGGATTACTAAAAATTATCCTACTGACTAAAGTTTTCATAGGTAATATATTTAACATCCCAATTCATTATCCATGCATGTAGAAAGGCAGGGGCGTGTGTGTGTGTATAACAAAAATTTCAAGAAACATTACTTTCCCAACTACATGTGATGTACTTTGATTTTTGAATTATATTTGAAACTTTTTTTTAAAGGCCAGTGATGACCCACCAAATTTATTTAACAAACCATCAATAGATTATGATCTACAGTATGAAAACTTTTGTAAAGTTTTTCACACTGTAGATCATAATCTATTGCAGCAAGGAGCTCCATGCATTTGGAGCAGGGAAATATGATAAATGGAGTGCTTAAGGATGGTGGGAGTGAGTAAGGAGAGTGAAATAAAACTAGTTAGAAAGCTATTCAAATAGTCCAGGTTGTGAGAAGTAGGATTGTGGTGGTAGTTAAGAAAAAAATTGTGCTGGAGAGACCCCTTAGAATCACAAATGTATTTTCTTCTTTCTAAAAAGGAATGACCAGGCAGTAGGGAAAACACAGGAAAGCACATAAATTCCTACATGGCAAGTAGGTAGTGTCAGCACTGCTTGGGGTTGCTCAGCCTGGTTGTTGAGGAGCAAGGGAATACTCTTATTTACTCTGTGTCATTGGTATTCAGGGTCCGTTATTAATTGATTATTAATCATTCATTCTAACCATTTATTTAATGCCTTCTGTGTGCCAGGAATGATGCAAAGCATGGAGGATAAAATGGCAAAAACACCAGAGGTGGTCCCTGTTCCTGTGGTCCCACAATCCAGGAGAATATGAATGTTACACAAGTGTTTGCAAGCATGACAGATATTGTTAAAGGAGAAATCCAGAAGGACCTAATCCTGGGTAGGTGGGCATAGAAAGTGATATGGTCTGGCTGTGTCCCCACTCAACTCTCACCTTGAATTGTAATAATTCCCACACGTCAAGGACAAGATCAGGTGGACATAATTGAGTCATGGGGGCAGTTCCCCCATGCTTTCTCATGATAGTGAGTTCTCACGAGATCTAATGGTTTTATCAGGGGCTTCTCCCCATTGCTTGGCACTCATTCTTTCTCCTGCTGCCCTGTGAAGAAGTGTCTTCCATCAGGATTGTAACTTTCTTGAGGGCTCCCCAGACATGTGGAAATATGAATGAATTAAACCTCTTTTATTTATAAATTACCCAGTCTCAGATATTTCTTCATAGCAGTGTGAGAACAGACTAACACAGAAAGTCTTATTTTTATAATTCTCTGGTCTTGTAGAAACAGCAGCCTTATGACAAGGATATTTTAAGACTGTTAATTACTTATTAATTACAAATTAAGCAATAGAGATATATACTGTGGGGCCTGTAGATATGCAACAAACTAAGACAGAGCTAATGTTTTCATGAAGAAAGTAAAACTTCCATAATATTAATAAATCTGTTAATTTGGGGGTATAATTTATATATCCTCAACAAACTATAAACTACCAATACCAGTTGGTTTAAATCTGATAGCTTTAATTCATTCCATGAATAACTGTCTGTGGGTAATAATGTGATTACACCTCAGTACCACAGGTGACTTGCAATCACATAGCTCCTGCCAGAAACCCAGGCTGATTTAATATTTTAAAAAATATGGCAGTCAGCCTAAGGTCTTACTTAAGTTAAAAAGTGTGATTTTCATAAACAATGGAGTCATAACTAGCTTTCCAATTAATGGCCTTTCCAATTGCTCTTCTCTGTTTATTGGCGCATGCCAACCTTCACTAAGCTCGTGTGCCTGTGGGTGTGTATACAAATGTACTTGACTGGCTCTGCCCATGGTCTCGGATAATATGGAGTTGCAGCTTCCCTCCCCTTCACATTAACCGTCTACCACAAAACCCTGTTGAGCATTCAGAATAAATGTAATGCTCCAAGGGGGAATAACCGATCAACTGCTCTGACACCGCTATCACTTAACTTATGGTCATTTCAAGTAGCTGAGATGATTTACATCAGCACCTAAGTCAGCTGCAGCTATAACAAAATGCCTAATCTGCTCACTCAAAGTACACCAATTTTTCAGTCAAATTTGACAGCTTTCAAGGACACAGTTCTGACCTGAGACAGACCGAAAAAGTCTCCAGAATTCCAGGCAAATGGGCATAGTTGTTAGGGCTGGCAGCTCTAACAACTATGCTTGTTTTCTCTCTGTCCTGGACAAACATGAAAGGGAAGGTTACCACCATGGTCCATGTGCTTTGAAGGAAGTCTTTAATTCCCATGGCTGGAATTTCTTAATCGGGATTGAAAAAAAAAATAAGCACACAAAACAGACTGGTCATTTCCAGAAGGTTTTAGCTTTCTCATGCCTCTGGAGAATAAAGTGGAAAGAGTAGGGTGGAGCAGATGGGAGCCCACATATATAGCATTAATTTTCAAATATCTTCCTGAGAGCAGAGAGCTGGGAAAGATACATGCTGGTGTTAGTGAGAGGTTTAATATAGAATTGCGGTCAATTAGCAGAACAAAAAAAAACCTTCATTTCCTACATTAAAATCAATAATGAAAAACCAGCATGGCCAGGTTTAATATATAAATGGGCCGATCATCACAGAGAAAGCATGTCGTCAGAGAATTAAGCTGCATGAGGAGATTGTTGAATAACTGAAATGAATCTAAAATCCATTTACACTACTGGTTCTCAACCCCAACTCCTCGTTAGAGCTACATGAAGGAAGCTGTTAAGAAATACTGATTCCAGGGCCTCTTCCCCTGAGAATCTAATTCAATTTGTTTAGAGTGGAGCTTAAGCCAGGGCCTTTTTATTAAGCTCCCCAGCTGATTCTAAGGGCATCCAAGGTGAAAAATAACTGATCTAGACCCAATGTCATTACAGCACTAATCTCCATAGAAGAAAAGTCTTCATTCTAGTGTCAGCTAAAAACTCTTTAGTTACTGTTTACATATAGCTAGTGATGGTGGTGGTGAGGGGTGGAGGGAAATTCTATTTTATTCTTATTTATTCATATTAACAAGAACAAGTAAAATGGAAATAAATGAACAGAAACTTCATTTGGCCGCAGGGCGAGACTACATTTCATGACATACCATATTCTTAGGATCACGCGGATGGAATGAACCTTTTAGATTGTCTTGTTCAAACCCTTGTCCAGATGAAAAGGAAAGTAGCCAGCATTGAAGGCATCTGGCTACTATGGGCTGTCTCATTTAATGCTCTGAATAAGACTGTCAGGTCAGGACTACTATTCTCATTTTTAAAGATGAGTAAACTGGGGCCCAAGGTGGGTAAAATTTTTGTCTAGACTGACAAAGCTAAGAAAAAGTACAAAGAGGCATCAAACTCAAAGTTTTCCATTTTCCAGAATATTTTTTAAAAACATTTCAGATTTATCATCATTTGTATTCTTCTTGGGCATTTCCAGTATCTTACCAGCTATCGGGGTACTCAGAGCATACTGTGAAGTATGGTATTCGGCATGCTGAGTTCTTTCAAATGAAGGAGAAAAGGCCTCAGAGGCAAAGTGTCTCTCTCTCAATTTCTCCTGCCTTTCTTTCCCCGCCCCTCTTTCTTCCCCAATGCAAGCCACAAAATCCAGAATTCCCCTTCTACATGGCAGGTCATGGAAACTAGAACCCTTCTCTCCCAAAACAAGCCACAAAACTTAAAAGTACTAATCTAACCTTCCCCTGCCTTTCTGTGTAAAATCTGGCCATAAAGAAATTCTCTGACCTGCCTAGTCTAATGGAAAGTCATAAGACTGTCATTCCAGAGGTTCTTGTCCAATGCCCAAGAGGAAGGAATGCTGCACAGAGAGGCCAAGAAGAATCCGAACAGACAGCCTTGCTGGGTTTTCCCACCTCATACATTAGATCCTTCCTTTCCAATCACATTTCTACACAGCTGTCCATTCTTCATCAAAACAAAGTATAAAAGTGGACAATTTTCCCTGGGTTTTTATTTCTGAAGGTTCCCAGGCCACATAGAACTCTGATTACATAGGCCGGGTATGGTGGCTCACACCTATAATCCCAGCACTTTGGGAGGCCGAGATGTGTGGATCACTTGAGGTCAGAAGTTCAAACCCAGCCTGGCAACATGGTGAAACCCTGAATCTACTAAAAGTACAAAACTTAGCAGGGCTTAGTTGCACATGCCTGTAATCCCAGCTTCTCAGGAGGCTGCAGCAGAAGAATCACTTGAACCCAGGGGGCGGAGGTTGCAGTGAGCCAAGATCGTTCCACTGCACTCCAGCCTGGATGACAGAGTTAAGACTTCATCTCAACAACAACAACAACAACAAAAAAACACCCTTGATTAAATAAATTTGTGCTTTTCATTTGTTAATGAGTGAGGAAAGGTGTGATGCCTTTCTGCCCCCACATGGCTCGCTTCTTAACAAAGTTCATTCTGTTTGGCGCAGGCCAAATTTTTACAAATTTTTTCCTTATCTGAGTCACAAAGCTGTTTCTCCATGTATCCTACTCATTGACCCTTGTTCTATTTTCTGGAGCAAGAAGAGCAACTTAGCCTGTCTTTTATAGTAACATCCTTCAAATGTCTGAGGATAGCTGTTATGTTTTTTCTGAGACTACTTTTCTCCAAGCTACAGATCCTCAGCTCTTTATAGCAGTTCCACATGGTTCCAGAGCTCACAATTTTGATTGACCTCTTCTAATACTCTTGGAAAGGTCAGTATAATTTTTCAATGTGTTGCCCAGAGCCAAGCATGACACCCAATCAGTTTGACTGGTCCTGAGTACACTGGGGCTTAGCCAGTGGTTGAGAGCAAGGGTTTTGCAGGCAACCAAACCTGGGTTTATTTCCCATTCTCACCACTCACTAGCTGAGTATACGTGAAGTTGCTAAAACCTTTCTGAGCCTGCTTTTCTTCATCTGTGAAATGGGAATCATAATGCCTAAATCAAAAGGCTATAATCTGGCTGGGTGCGGTGGCTCATGCCTATAATCCCAGAACTTTGGGAGGCTGAGGCGGGTGGATCACCTGAGGTGAGGAATTCAAGATCAGCCTGACCAACATGGTGAAACTCTGTCTGTACTAAAAAATACAAAAATTAGCCAAGCATAGTTGCGGGCGCCTGTAATCCCAGCTACTCAGGGGGCTGAGGCAGGAGAATCACCTGAATCTGGGAGGTGGAGGTTGCAGTGAGCCGAGATTGCACCACTGTACTCCAGCCTGGGCAACAGAGCAAAACCATAAAGGAGGAAAGAAAAAAGAGAAAGAGAGAGAGAGGGAAGGAAGGAAAGGAGGAAGGGAGGGAGGGACAGAAGGAAGGAAAGAGAGAAGAGAGGAGAGAGAAAAGGAAGGAAGGAAGAAGAGAAGGCAGGCAGGCTATAATCAGAATTTTATGAGTGTCTGTGAGCATTCAACAGTACAGGGTACATTATAAATGTTTACTTTTATCTCTGTTCAATTTAATTTCTTCTTTTTTGCTTTATTTTAGCTCCTATTCTGTAGCGTTAATTTGAATATTCAGTCTATTAGTGTTAGTGTTAGCCTTGTACTTTTTACAAATTTTGTGCCTGCCTTCTATAAACGTCCCTGATTAAAAGCCTAAGACAGGTCAGAGTTAAGTTTAAGTTTCAAGTCCTTAGACGTATCACCAGAAAATCTCCCAGGCATCATTATTAGTCTGTTAAGCAGTAGAGCTTGTGTATCATTGCTCAACTAGTCATACATTTATCCACCTACATCTCAAATGAGCCACATTACTGGGCTCTGGCCACAGTGATAGCATAAGAAACTGTCCAATTTAGTTACTTATTTTTACCAGAAACGTTTTCTTTTTACTCAAGCTTTCCAACTTGTAAAATGATTTCACTCCCTTTAAGACTTTTTACTTACTTTTCGAATAAATATTTTCCATCATTAACTTGTTCTAGAGGATTCTGCAATCTTTTCAGTTCTTCCTGTGAAAAAGAGAAGATATATCTTACAAATTGATACCAGCTATCTTCCAAGAACTACTACTCAAGAATAATTGTTAGTAAAATTGAAACAACACAACATTAAGAGGTCTGGACTTTGGGAGGATTCAGTGTTTAAACATACAACAATGCAACGTGATCCTTGATCAAATTAGAATACCGTCACTCAAATTGTGTGATTATTTTTTTACTCATTAAGATAATGTTTCCTATTATTTTTACAGAGCTGGGATATGTGTACATGGATCCATGAACACTCTTTCCAAACTGACTTTCTCAACAGTATTGTCATTGCTGGTTGCTGGGTAAGAGATGCTAATGACTGCATGCTGTGTTTGACCATTCAGCAACCATTGTCTCTTGTCTCTTGGTAACTCTTGGCAACCTCTTCTCCATAGCCCAAGTGCTCACGCACGCATGTGCACACACACACACACACGCATGCACACACCCCTCCCCTGAATTCCAGGCATTTGTAGTCTCTGTAATCCCATTTCTCTGGCCACAGATGTGTGACAGAATTCAGCCCAGGTTTCTCGTGAGACTACCTGTCTTCAGTTTTATCAATCACGGCAGGATTTAAGGAAGAGTCACAGAACTCTGTTCCTGGGAAGACCACCATTCTCACCATTCCCTGAGGCCACGCTATCTGCCATACCATTTATCACACCACTTACCCCCTTCCAGAAATTATTGAAGTGACTAGTCCCAAGAGGAAGTCATAATTAGAAATAATTATCCAATTATATCTAAAGACCATGAGAACTAGTCTCTACATGCTTTTTACCCACCAGACACCCAAGTCACCTAGATCACCTCTCCCATTACACAATTATTTAAACCCCATACTGCATTCCAGAATTTGGCCCAGTCACCCACCTTTCCCCAATCCTTCCAACATTTACAATGAGTCCTTGGCAGTCTATTATCAGCAAAATCCTGTATCTACCCACTTCTTTGAACATGCCCTTAATTATGTTGTCCTAACTAAACTATGCCTCACTGTCCTGGGACAGCTAAGTTTTTGTTAGAGCAAGAAGCACAAAGAAGTGTTCAGAAAAGATGTCTAGTATATAGGGGATTTTGCAGATGAAAAACTTGTCTGAGTCCCTGAGCACACTTTCTCCCCTGTAGTCCACCTAGGAGATGGCCATTTTTTTCCCCACATGCTACATACTACATGGTGTGGAGTTGGGGTGGGATTCTCCTTGCTCCTCATTGCTGCTTCCAGGTCTTCCCCACTCCTATAAAACCTCTAGAAATGCACAGGCTGCCAGTCCTGGCCATCTGTCCTCTTCTCTATCTATCCTCACTCCTCAGGGGATCTCACAGCTTCAATTTTATATTTGTACCTGACCTCTTCTCTAAACTTTACTCTTCTGCATTCACCTGCCTACTTGACAGTTCCATGTGCATGTCTGACAAGCATTTCAAGCTCAAAACCAAAATGCTGATTTCCCTGCTTGTATCTACCTACCCAAACCTCCTTCTTCACTGCTTCTTCCTCATTTTAGCAAATGGCATCACTAGTCACCTATCTATGACAACTTAAACCTAAGAGCCAGATTTTCCTCACTTCTTTCTCTCACAATCTATAGTCAATCAGTTAATCTTATTGACCCCACTTTCAAAATATATTTGGAACTTAGCCACCTCTCAGTCTGGTCTAAGCCAGCCATGATAATCATCTAATTATTGCCCTGTTTCCTATGTTAGGCTGTATCAGTCACTTCTCCTTACATCAGCCTGAGTGATCTTGTAGTACTTGGGTTTTCTTTTTTTTTTTTTTTTTTT